ACGGATCACGGGGGGCGTGGATTAGCGACGGGCCCCGTTTCCACGGGAAATCGCGGGCTTCCGCCGCCGGCCGAGGCGGCGCCGGCCACATTTTGGGGAGGGCACCTCCCCCGATCCATGGATGCTTTGGCGACCGCGCGCCAAATCCATGGATCGCTAATCCATGTTTGCGCGCCCCTACCCTGGTTTACGAGGCGCTGTGCGCTGAACCGCCGGTGGGCTGACCGGAGAAGCCCTGCGTATCGCGCGTGCCGCGCGAAGAAGCCCTGGCGGCTCTCTGGCTCTTGGGAGCCCCCAGGAGGCTTACAGACCGCGCACTTCTAACCCAGGGTAGGAGAGCTTTTTCTCAGGAGGGGGAAAAAATACAGACACAATTCATCGTCGATCCCCAGGAAAAGATGGGAAAATCTGGGAAGTGGGGGGGGGAAGACGAATATCCAGAAAATGTAGGAAGGTATGGGGGGATCCTGTTATTTGTGTGTCTTTCTTTGTGTGTCCCAGGGCCCCTTCAGGTTCACCCCTCGAGAGGCCCGACTGGGGCCCAATCGCCTCGCCCGGGAGGGTGCGATTTCGCCCTCCGGGGCCCCTCGCCGATCCGCCTGCGACCCGGCGCCGCTCCCGGGGCGCTGCGCCCTCCCCCTGCCCCTCGCCAGGCCCGCGCTGCAGAGGCCGCTCGGGCCCACAGGGCCACCTCCCCAGATCCGAGGCGGGGATTTATCCATATCCCCAGACCCCCTCGCGTCATGAAAAAATCACGACGGGTTTTTTTTCTCAGTATTTTCGCCCTCCGGGGGCCCTCACCGGGCCTCGGGACCGTCAAGAAACGACTCAGGATGAAAAACCGGTCCCGGGGAATGGGTCCAGACCTGTGGGGGTCGCGTCATGAACAAAATCATGACGTCGGGGGTCTGAGTCCACTGCCTGGAGGGTCAGGTTTCGGAGCCTCGGCAGGCGGTGGATATGGACATATTCGGGCGCCCGGGGGCCGAAGTATATATCCATAGCCACCGCCCGCTGGGGCACCAGGACGTCGGCTCCCAGGCGGTGGTTATGGACAACTCCTCGCCTCGCACCAGACCCCCGACGTCGTGATTTTTTCGCAGCGTCGACCCCCAGAGGTCAGGACCCCTGCCCCGGGACCGGTTTTTCACCCCGAGTCGTCCTTTGACTGGCCCGAGGCCCAGCTCGGGCCTCTGGAGGCCGAACACAGCAGAAAACAAACTTCCCGCCGTGATTTTTTCCAGCAGCGCGAGGGGGGTCTGGGCCTTGCGGGTGGCCGAGAGGAGACGCCCCTGCTGCCAGGGCACAAGAGCGGGAACGACGCCGGCGGGCGGACCCTCACGTCGGCGGAGGCGCTCGGGCGTCCTCCTCCTCCTCCTCCTCCTCCTCCTCCGCCTCCTCCTCCTCCTCCTCCTGCTCCTCCGGCCCGGACCGGGAAGCACCGCTCCAGAGAGCTCGGGGGACCGCTCTCGGAGCGCTCGGGAGCGCTCCCGAGGGGCCGCCGGCGCCCGAGGCACCCTCCAGAGCCGGCGGTTCTAGGAGATCCCCGGCCCAGGCATGACCGCGTCGTCAAACAGGCAGGGCGGGAGGTTTTTGTGGCAATTTTTCGGCCTCGGGGGGCCCTCGCAGGGCCTCGGGACCGTCAGAAAACCACTCAGGATGGAAGGCCGGTCCCGGGGAAGCGGTCGGGACTTCAGGGATGGCGTCTTGAAAACGTCAGGACGCCGCATGTCTGGGGATATGTCCTGGTCCGATTTTGAAGGGGTCCTGGCTTCGGCTTTTGATCCCCGGACCTGGTCTGGGCCCGGGGGTCTACAGTCGACCCCCGGACATGCTCCCATGTGCGCTCTGACCAGAAGTTCGAGAAGGACCTGGCCATGGAGACGAGAAGCCGCCCAGAAGCACAGAAAGAAAGCGAAGAAGGCATATGCACAGACATACGCCGTGCGGATGCTTCGGCACGGGCCCCTTGGAAGTTCTGGCCCTTTCCCAGGGCGCAGCTTTTCACCTTGCGTCGTTTTTTTGATCGGTCCCGTGGCCCGGCGAGGGCCCCGAGAGGCCCGAAACGGCCAGAGAAGTCTCCCGCCCTGATCTTTCCAGGATGGCGGGCATGCTTGGGTACACAATAGGGAACAAACAATGACATAAACATAACAACTCGGAGGTCCGCGCGGATTTCTCGGGTCGGCGCTGCACCCCCCTCCCTGGCGCGCGGAGCCCGCCAGGGGCGGCGCCGGAGGCGCCGCCTGGGGGCCCCAGCGTCGATTCGAGAAGCCCGCGCGGACCTCCGAGTTTTTGTGTTTTTGTCGCTGTTCGTTCCCCTACACGAGCTTCGAACCTCGAAGTTCGAAGGTGGCCAGATGTGAGGCGATCGCAAACATGGATCAAGGGGGCGTGGATTATCGACGGGTCCCGTTTCCACGGGAAATCGCGGATTTCCGCCGCCGAACGAGGCGGCGCCGGCCGCATTTTGGGGAGGGCACCTCCCCCGATCCATGGATTTGGCGACCACGCGCCAAATCCATGGATCGCCAATCCATGCTTGCGCGCCCCCGACAATCGCTGATGCGGGGCCCGATAAGGGGCCCGATCGGGGCCCGATAGCGACTTTGCCAGAGCTTTTATATTTGCGTCAATGTTCGTGTCCCTACGCCAGCCTCGAACCTCGAAGCTCGAGGGTGGCCAGGCGTGTCGCCGCGCCGCTTGCTCCGACGCGCGGCCTCCCGTCTCGGGCCGGGCGCCGCGGCCACCAGGGGCAGGCGCCGCGCGTCGGGCGCGGAGGGTCCTGCCGCGGGCGCGCCGCGGCGCCGGCCGCCTCGGCCGCGGGCCCGGGGCGCAGGGCTCGCCGTGGGCTTTTTGCCGTGGCGACGGCGCCGCCCTCTTCGGTGGCAAATCATGGGGCCTTGTGTACAGTACCCTTTTTTGTGCAAGCTCTTCAGCACCGCCTGCACCCCGCGCCCTCCGGCCGCCTGAGGCCGCGCCCGCCCGCGCCCTGTCTCCCCAATTAGTGCTTTGCGCGGCCCGCCTAGCTCTTAACCGGAAGAGGCTCGCTCTCGACCCGCAGACCGAAAAGTACAGTACCCTTAAGTCGGGCCTGTCCCTCTACAGGAGGTGTATTCCGAAATAGTTTCAAAATGGTACGGGGACGATGTCTTGACAACTCTTGATTCTTTTTGGGGCATCTTTTATTTTCGGTCAAAATGCGCCTGTAGGGGGACATGCCCGACCTAACCGTGGGTTTTTCCCGTGGTGACGGCGCCGTCCTCTTCGGTGGGAAATCATCGGAGCCTTGTGTACACTCGTAATTATGTCGTTAGCGTCGAGTCGATGAGATGTAGCGCCGATTTAGCGTCGGCTAGCGTCGATTGGCGTCGATTTAGTGTCAATTACCATCGATTGGCGTCGATTTAGCGTCGATTACCGTCGATTCGCAAGAGCCGACAAGATGGTATGGGAGGCTCCCATGAGTTGCTACCGAGGTTCTCTTGGGTGCGTCGCGAACAAGCGGCGCAGCGACATGTGTCCTGGCCCGATGTTGCCCCTGCACTGGCCTTGTCTCAGGCGGGGCTCTCGTCCGCGAGGTGCCGCGCGTCGACGATGCCGCCCCGGAGGGCCCGGCTGATGACCATGAAGAGCCTGTCCAGCGAGGACTCGCCGAGGTCGCGGTTCCTCCTGCGGCTCCTCGGCGACCTCTCACAGGAGGAGGAGGGGGACGAGGAGAAGGAGGAGGTGGAGGAGGAGGAGGAGGAGGCCGTGGGGATGCAGGAGGAGGGGGAGGAGGGGAAGGTGGAAATGGAAGAGTAAGAGGTAGAGGCAGATGATGTTGCTGATGTTGATGCTGCTGCTGCTGATGATGATGATGTTAATGATGATAATGATGTTGATGCTGATGCTGGTTATGATGCTGATGATGCTGCTGCTGCTAATGATGAGGATGCTGATGCTGATGCTGCTGCTGCTGCTGGTGATGGTGATGGTGAGCAAGATGATGATGATGCTGATGATGATGCTGCTGTTGCTAACGATGATGCTGATGCTGATGCTGATGCTGCTGCTGCTGGTGATGATGATGGTGATGATGATGATGATGATGATGATGATGGTGATGGTGATGGTGATGGTGATGGTGATGGTGATGGTGATGGTGATGGTGATGGTGATGGTGATGACGACGATGATGATGATACTGATGCTGATGCTGCTGATGATGATGATGATGATGATGCTGATGCTGATGCTGATGATAATGGACGATGATGATGATGGTGGTGGTGGTTGTGGTGATGATGACGATGATGCTGCTGCTGATGGTGATGATGATGATGATGATGCTGCTGCGGATTACGATTATGATGATGCTGATGATGATGTTGTTGATGATGAGAATGATGATTTATAATGATGATAATGATGATAACGACGACGACGATGATGATGATGATGATGATGCTGATGCTGATGCTGATGCTGATGATGATGCTGCTGCTGATGATGATGATGCTGCTGATGCTGCTGCTGATGCTGATGATGCTGCTGATGATGATGCTGATGATGATGATGATGATGATGCTGAGGATGAGGATGAGGATGAGGATGCTGATGATGATGATGATGCTGATGATGATGATGATGATGATGATGATGATGATGGTGGTGGTGGTGTTGGTGGTGGTGATGATGCTGCTGCTGATGATGATGATGATGATGATGATGATTATGATGATGATGATGATGATGATGATGATGATGATGATGATGATGATGATGATGATGATGATGATGATGATGTTGATGCTGCTGTTTATGATGCTGATGCTGATGCTGCTGCTGATGTTGAGAGGAGGAGGAGAATGAGGAGGAGGAGGATGAGGAGGAGGAAGAGGAGGAGGAGGTGGAGGAGGAGGAGGAGGAGGAGGAGGAGGAGGAAGGGGGGGGGGCGGGCGTCGGGATCGAGGGCGTGACCTCCTCCGATGGCACGGGGGATCCTCGGAAGCAAGCCTCCCCGGAGGTCTGCGACAAGTCCACGCGGAGACACAAGAAATCCGTGGGGACTTTCGACAGCTTCTGCTTGTGCATTTTTTTTGTTTCTCCTTCTTCTCCGTCTTCCCGTTCTTCTTCCTCTTCTACCACCTGCCTTCTTAGGAGCCCCACCCAGGGCCCACTTCGACCCCATCGGCCCCACGGCGCCCGGCCCGATCCGATTCGACTCCGACGTCCCGACGATCCGAGGCGGCCCAGTGCCTGCACGGCGTTGCTGTGCATCCGGGCGCGGGGCCGATCCGACTCGACTTCAGTCGGGCGTTGCCCTCAACAGGGCGAACAGGCAGAAAATAGTAAAACCTGATCGGACAAGAACGGGAAGTGCCGCTGTAGGCTAATGGGCGTATTGGGCGAAGAAGAAAGGGAAGGCGATGACAACGAGGAGTCGATGACGAGGACGACGGGGCGAACGTGAGGATAGCGAGGAGGAGCATGAGGATAACGAGGAGGAAGAGAAGCACAAGGACGAGGACGAAGAGAACGAGGGCGAGTACGTCAACAGGGCGAACAGTCAGAAAATAGGACAAAAATAGTCGGGGGACGTTTTGTGGACAATTACCTAACAGCGAAGACTGATAGGTTTCTAGTGGTCTCAAAAGAGAGCAGCAGATGACTCCACAGGGGGGTCTGGGCGGGTGCCGGACAGGGTGCCGCAGAAGTCGTTTTAAGCAAACAGTCACACACTTCGTGCTCTTCGACCTCCCAGAACTCCATTCCCGGGCCACATTCTGAATGCCCGGAGCCAACTGTAGGCCACTTCGTGCTCTTCGACTTCCCAGAACTCCATTCCCGGGCCACATTTTGAATGCCCGGAGCCAACTGTAGGCCACTTCGTGGTCTTCGAGTTCCCAGAACTCCATTCCCGGGCCACATTTTGAATGCCCGGAGCCAACTGTAGGCCACTTCGTGCTCTTCGAGTTCCCAGAACTCCATTCCCGGGCCTCATTTTGAATGCCCGGAGCCAACTGTAGGCCACTTCGTGTTCTTCGAGTTCCCAGAACTCCATTCCTGGGCATGATTTTGAATGCCCGGAGCCAACTGTAGGCCACTTCGTGTTCTTCTAGTTCCCAGAATTCCATTCCCGGGCCACATTTTGAATGCTGAGGCAGGCTGATGCTGAGGCTGAGGCAGGCTGAGGCTGAGGCAGGCTGAGGCTGAGGCCGAGGCTGAAGGCAGACTGAGGCTGAGGCTGAAGCAGGCTGAGGCTGAGGCTGAGGCAGGCTGAGGCTGAGGCTGAGGCAGGCTGATGCTGAGGCAGGCTGAGGCTGAGGCTGAGGCTGATGCAGGCTGAGGCTGAGGCAGGCTGAGGCTGAGGCGAGGCTGAAGGCAGACTGAGGCTGAGGCTGAAGCAGGCTGAGGCTGAGGCTGAGGCTGAGGCTGAGGCTGAGGCAGGCTGAGGCAGGCTGAGGCTGAGGCTGAGGCAGGCTGAGGCTGAGGCTGTGACTGCGACTGCCGTTGCCGCTGCGACTGTCATCGCGAATGCGACTACGACTGCGAGAACAGCAGAATTCTACAACTGGATTTTCATCTGAATCTTAAGGGGAATGCTTTCAGATATGCTTCTACACATCGCTGTTAGGTTGCTTTGCCGGGATAATTTTACCTAACAGCTTGTTCTGATAGGTTTCTAGTAGGGTCAAAAGAGAGCAGCAGATGACTCCACAGGGGGGTCTGGGCGGGTGCCGGACAGGGTGCCGCAGAAGTCGTTTTAAGCCAACAGTCACACACTTCGTGCTCTTCGACCTCCCAGAACTCCATTCCCGGGCCACATTCTGAATGCCCGGAGCCAACTGTAGGCCACTTCGTGCTCTTCGACTTCCCAGAACTCCATTCCCGGGCCACATTTTGAATGCCCGGAGCCAACTGTAGGCCACTTCGTGCTCTTCGAGTTCCCAGAACTCCATTCCCGGGCCACATTTTGAATGCCCGGCCAGCCAACTCCATTCCCGTAGCCCGCCAACTGTAGGCCACTTCGTGGTCTTCGAGTTCCCAGAACTCCATTCCCGGGCCACATTTTGAATGCCCGGAGCCAACTGTAGGCCACTTCGTGGTCTTCGAGTTCCCAGAACTCCATTCCTGGGCATGATTTTGAATGCCCGGAGCCAACTGTAGGCCACTTCGTGTTCTTCGAGTTCCCAGAACTCCATTCCCGGGCCACATTTTGAATGCTGAGGCAGGCTGAGGCTGAGGCTGAGGCAGGCTGATGCTGAGGCAGGCTGAGGCTGAGGCTGAGGCTGATGCAGGCTGAGGCTGAGGCAGCCTGAGGCTGACGCCGAGGCTGAAGGCAGACTGAGGCTGAGGCTGAAGCAGGCTGAGGCTGAGGCTGAGGCAGGCTGAGGCTGAGGCAGGCTGAGGCTGAGGCTGAGGCAGGCTGAGGCTGAGGCTGTGTCTGTGACTGCCGTTGCCACTGCGACTGTCATCGCGAATGCGACTACGACTGCGAGAACAGCACAATTCTACAACTGGATTCTCATCTGAATCTTAAGGGGAATGCTTCCAGATATGCTCCTACACATCGCTGTTAGGTTGCTTTGCCGGGATAATTTGGAATGTTGTTTGCTTATGTTTTGAGCATTTCTTATTTCTCGTCCGAAATCCGCCCGTGGGGGACGTTCCCGACCCAAGACTCGACATCCTGGCTCCGTGCCGAGGCCGCCCGGCCCGGCGCGCTCTCCGACTTGGGATCCGGTGTCGCGGTCCGCTGCCGACGGCTCTTGCCCCCACAGCGCCAGATGACGATAACAGCAGTGACAGCAGTGACAACGATAGGGACTCACATGCGAACCCTACCCCTACCCCCCACGATTTCTGAGGGGGAGGGTGGGGTTCACTTCGCTCCGGAGCTCCCGAACGAGGTGAACCCCACCCTCCCCCTCAGAAATCGTGGGGGGTAGAGGTAGGGTTCGCATGTGGCCCCCTGAACGACAGCAGCGATGACCATAGCACGGAGATAACGACAACAGTGAGACAGCGACAGCGGTAACGATGGCAATGACAGCGATGCCACAACAACGACAACACATACACAAGTACAGTGACCCCATATCAGTAACGATAACAATATCACAACGATAAAGGTCACGACGACGACGACGACGATGACGACGGCGACGGCGACGACGACAACGACGACGACGGCGATGACGACGACGACGACGACGACGACGACGGCGGCGGCGGCGGCGGCGATGGCGGCGACGACGACGACGACGGCGACGGCCACGACGACGAAGGCCACCCACCCTCCCCAGGTAATTATCCGACGTCGTGTTTTGTTCCCAGGGCGGCTCCCCAGCGGTCTGGACCTCTTCCCGGGGACGGGCTGCTTGTGCCGAGCCGTTTTGTCGCCACGCCCCGCCGCCCGGTGAGGGCCCGCGGAGGCCGAAGCACACGGAACACATTTTTTTTCAGGGCTCGAGGATGGTCAGCGTTTTTTGTATTCACTGTTCTGCCGATCGGCGCGGGCCCCCAAACCCCCCCTCCCCCCCCCTGGAGTGGATCTTGGCTGTTTTGAGCGGGTGGAGTTCCTCCCCCGAGGCTCCCCCATAATAGACGCCCTGTTGCAGACAGTCGCGCTAAGTAGAGGTCCGCAGCCAGTCCGCCCAATGTCGAAACACAGAGTAAAAAAAGCTCACGAGGATGTCAGGGGAAGACGACGAAGGCCGCCCCCGATGGCCGCGTGCGGTGCGATAGTTGCGTCTTGCGCGCTTGGGCTTAGGCCACTCTCACCCACACTCTTGCGTGCAGCCGAGAGGAGAGGACGGAGATGACGGAGAGCGAGAGAGCGCCCTCGAGGACGAGAGAGAGAGGGAGAGGAGTTGCACGACCAAGGAGGAAGGCCGGAGAAGGATGAGGGCGGAGGTGGTTGGGCGAAGGGGGCGGAGAAGGCGGAGGAGGCGGAGGAGAAGGAGGAGGAGGAGGAGGAGGAGGAGGAGGAGGCGGTCACTCTTGCGTGTAGCCGAGTCAGGGGGAGACGACGAAGGCCGCCCCCCCCCCCGCCCCTCCGTGCTCGGGACATCGGGCTCGTCGTGCCCTGAGCTCGGGCTCGCGCTCGCGGTGCTCGCGCTCGGGTTCATCCGCTCGTGCCTTCGTGCCCTCGGGCTCGGGCCTTGGGGCCCCGCCCCCCAGGGCTCCGTCGGGCATCTCTCTCTTGACAGGAGGGATACTCAGAAGTAGTAAAAAGATAGTCCGGGGACGATCTCCCCCCCCAAGACAAAACTATGTTTGCAGATGTTTCGGGGGATATTTTGTGGGGGTATTTTTCCATGTTTCCTGAAGAACTCTGCCCGTAGGAGGACCTGCCCGACCCAACCCCAAAAAACTATGTTTGAGTATGCTTGGGGGTATTTCGTGGGGGTATGTGTTTCACTTCTCCTCCAGATATCTGCCTGTAGGAGGACCTGCCCGACCCACCCAAAAAACTATGTTTGAATCTGCTTGGGGGTATTTTGTGGGGGTATTTCTCATGATATCTGCCTGTAGGAGGACCTGCCCGATCCGAACCCCTCAAACATCTATGTTTTTTTTGTCCCCCCTCCAGAATCTGCCTGTAGGAGGACCTGCCCGACCCACCCCCCCGGGGCGCGCCCTCCTCAGGCTCGGCGGCATCTTCCTGGCCATCTGCGCCGGCGGCCTCTGCGGCATCCAGGGCGTGCCCGGGGCCCTGCACGCCCGGGGCTCGGAGAGAGACAGAGAGAGAGAGAGAGAGAGAGAGAAAAAAAGCGAGACAGACTTAAGTCGGGCGTGTCCCCCTACAGGGGGATTTTCGACGAACCAAAAAAAACATACCCCCAAAACAATCAAAACATAGTCCCAAAGTAGTCTGGGGACTACTTTTGATTTTTTGTTCTGACATTTTTTAATTAAAATAAACAATGAATAAAAAAGCAAAAACATAGCTAATTTTTTTCGCCCCAAATCCCCTTGTTTCCGGACGAGATAGACGGAGACGCGTCTTGCTGGGCCTGTTTTCCACCACCACCACCACCATAAGTTGGAGGGGGGGAGGAGGTGGGGGACGAGGAGGAGGAGGACGAAGAGGAGGAGGAGGAGGAGGAGGAGGAGGAGGAGGAGGAGGACCCCCTCCCCCTCCAACGTATGGTGGTGGTGGTGGTGGAAAACAGGCCCATCAGGGACCGTGTCTTCCTAGATCGTCGTCGTCGTCGGCGTCGGCGTCGTCGTCGTCGTCGCCGTCGGCGCCGTCGTCGGCGTCGCCGTCGTCGTCGTCGTCGTCGTCGTCGTCGTCGTCGTCGTCGTTGTCGTCGTCGTCGTCGTCGGCGTCGCCGTCGTCGTCGCCGTCTAGGGGGCCACATGCGAACTCTACCCCTGCCCCCCACGCCCTATCGTCGCTGTCGACGTCGTCGTCGTCGTCGTCGGCGTCGCCGTTGTCGTCGGCGTCGCCGTTGTTGTCGTCGTCGCCGTCGGCGCCGTCGTCGTCGTCGTCGTCGTCGTCGTCGTCGTCGTCGTCATGACCGTCGCCGTCGGCGCCGTCGTCGAATTCGTCGGCGATCAAGCGGAGTACTCCGCGATGTTTGTTTGGTCGGGCCGGCTGGGTCAGGCATCGGAGTGGGACTGGGAATCGTCCTCGATCGGGGCTTCCACCGAACAGGTCCAGAAGTACCCAGATCAGCCCGCCATCGCTGTGGTGTTCCCGCAGTGCGTGGGGATCTGGGTCGCGTCGAGCGCCATCTACCTCGCCTACTCCACGTTTGCCGATTGGCAGGGGTGGGAGGTGCACAACTCGGTGATCCGGCCTGCGTACTTCAGCGGCTGCATCTGGACTGCGGGCTTTGTGTTCCTCACGCTGGGGGTGAAGCAGCTTGGCTTCTCCATCTGCTACACGATCGACGCCGTGGTCCCCATCTCGAAGAAGAAAAAACTGCATACGCATGCACTTTCGGAGGTCTGCGTGGATTTCCTGAATCTGCACTGGACCACCCCTCCCTGGCGCGCGCAGCGCGCTATGGGCGGCGCCGGAGGTGCCGCCAGAGGGGGCCAAGCGCCGATGCAGGAAATCCGTGCGGACCTCCGAAAGTTTTTGCGCACGCAGTTTTTTCCTGCTTCTGCCATCGCCATCGCGGGACTCCTCTCCGTGTTCGTTTTCAAGGAGATCCAGGGCACCAGGTCCCTGCTGCTCTTCGCGTGCGCCTTCGTGCTGCAGGGCACGGGCGTGTCCCTCATCGCCTTCTTCGGCAGCGGGGGCGCGTGAGCGGCCGTCGGCATCGGCCCGCGCGTGCACGGTCTGGACCAGCAGGGTCACCGTTCACACTTGGCTGCCTCGCTGCCCTGACTCTCGGATCGGCTGCCCTTCTGGTGCCGCCGCGGTGCCTCGTGTGCCCAGCTCTCGGGGTCCGTGCTGCCAGCGCGCGGCGCCGCGTGGTGCCGTGCCCGCCGATCTTCTTGAGTCCGTCGCCCCTGTTGGTGCCGTGCGGTGCCAGCTGCGCCCCCGCATCTCGCAGCCATCACCCGTCCTGTGCTGTGTGGTGCGGCGTGCTCTCGTCTCCAGCCATCGGATCCGCTGCCCGCGCGTGATGCGGTGAGGAGCTCTGGGGTGCCTCGTGTTGCTGTGTCGCCTGTCTCCCGAATTAAAGCTGTGCGTAGCCCGCCTAGCTTTTAGCGGAAGAGGTTCGCTCTCGCCCCGCCGACCAAACAACAAAAAAACAAGTGTTGCTGTGTCGCCTCTCTGCGGCCGCTCCTCTTCCGCTCATCGGGCTCACCTGCGCTTTCATGTGACCCAGCCCCTGCTACGACCGCCTCGCGCGTCCGCCGAGTCCGAGGCAAAAATTTGCAGCGTCGTGGCATGCGGGGCAGTCCGGCACCGTGCCTCCAACTTTCGACTGCGTCGCCCCGCGTGGCGCTGTGCGTTGCCGTGTGGTGCTGCGTCGTGGCGCGCGTCCAGTTTCGGATCGGTTGCCCGTGCGGTGCCCTGTGGGGTGTGCGATCTCTTGCCAGGGTGTGCCCACGTATGGAGGAGTGCTTCAGAGCTCTCGTCTTGATTACGTAGGCGTTTGCGTGGGTCCCTACCCGTGGGCTCTTGTAATTTCAATTTCCAAGATGTCCAGTGCAATCTGTGTGTGATGCATCCTATGGGTTGCGGTGCAATCTGTGCGATGTCATGTCTGTCGTGCAATGTATGTGATTTACCCCGAATGTCATAATAAAATGGGGGTGGCAGACCAGCCATGAAAGGGCTGCCTTTTGCCCAGACCCCCCCCCGAACCTTCCAAGACAGCTCAACTCAGCCTTCATCCCCACACATATGTGAACTCCCCCACTTTATCATGACATCTGGAGTAGCTAACCAAAGCCAGTGATGAGTTGTCAACCCCGTTATTCGCGTAAACATCCCACCCGCTCACCAACGATCTGTTTTTCAAAACCCATGCGGCCGCGGGGACTGTTTGGCAATGTCTGGCACATCTCTGCGGCCGCGCTGGCGCGCGCAAGCTCCCGTGCAGAGCGGCCAGTTGGTTTGGCGCACGCACCTGATGCGGCCGCGATGGCGCTCACCGTTGGGAATTTCCCAGCGCGTCTCAAAACCCGCGCTGGCGCGCGGGCACTTCAGTGCGAATCGGCGGCTCGGGCGGGCGCCATGTCATGATGATATCGACATCGGCAGCATCGATGATGATAGTGGCGATGCTGGTGGCGATGGTGGCGATGACGACGGCAAAGCCAATGCCGGCGCCGATGCTGGTGACGACGATGACGATTATGGTGTCCATGTATCGGTGATGAAGGTGGTTGGCTGGTGATGACGGCAGTGGCGGCGATTGACGATGACGTTAATGGCGGTGATGCGGTTGCACCGGTGACGGTGAGGAAGTGCGCGCGCAGACTGTCAAGAATTTGGCGTACTTTCTTTTGAATGTTAGTCAGGGTGGGCCCGAAACACGGGTTTATTGCAATCTACGCGGTGCAGTCTAGGTGGTGCATTGATTCCAAAAACGAGTTGACACACCTCATGCTCTTGCAAACATCCCACCCACCCACCCGCAACTTGGTTTGCGGAACCCATGCGGTGGCGATTGCGATGCATGCTTGGCGTTGGCTGGTGCATTTCTGCGGCCGCGCCAGCCCAAGCACGCGCGCGCAGCGGCCAGCTAGTTCGGCGCGACCGACGCAGCCGCGGTGGCGCAGACCGCTGGGCACACCCCAGGGGACACTTCACTGTGAGTCGGCGAGTTGGGCGGGCGCGGTATCATGCCAACGTCGACCACGTTTGACACGATGATGATAGTAGCGATGCTGGTGACGATGTTGGCAACGACGAAGGCGCGGCCAGTGCGGGCGCCAGTGCTGATCACGCCGACGACGATGACGGCGTCCTCGCGTCGGTGATGAAGGTTTTGGAAAGAGTTCGACATGTGCGCGCGGCAGACGCGCGAGAGTGGCCCGCATGGCAGTATTTGACTCGGGTCGTGCCCCCCCATCGCGCGCGCAAGGACGTGCGAGTGATGTCGGCATGCGGCGCGAGAGGCCCGTTTGGCAGACTTCCCTGCGAATGTTGAAAACCTATGGTTTCCTCAAGGATTCGCAAGAGCGCGAGTGCACGCATTTTTTTGAAAACTGTTTTTGCGAAGCCATGTATTTTTATGTTTTTGGACAGTCGGTTTGGCATCGTCACGACACCGAACGTTTTTGACGGATTTCGACATGCGCGCGCGGCGACGCGCGCCTGTGCACTCCGTCCCGTTTTTTTGCACAACGGTTCTCGCGACCGCACGCGCGCAAGGGCTTTTGAAAGATGCCGACATGCGCGCGCGCGAAGCCCGTTTGGTCGTATTTTCTGAACATGTTGAACCGCCTATTGTTTTGTTAAGGATTCGCAGCAGCACGCGATGTTGCAACAGCACGCGATTTTGGAAACCTTGCGGCGCCGAAGGTTTTTGACGGATTTCGGCATGCGCGCGCGACGGCGCACGCCTGTGCACTTCGCCTTGTATGATGGACGATTGAGGGGAAATCGTCGGCACATTGCAGTACGAAAAGGGGAGCTGATAATCCGGGGGGGAGCTTATTTTTCTTATTAGAAAAGGAGAATCGATGCGGTGCTCTACGTGGTGCAAGTCACCAGTACCCTCAGTGAGTTGTCAACTCCACTGCTCGCGCAATCATCCCATCCACCCGCCCGCAACTTGGTTTGCAAAACCCCGCGACGGCGATTGCGATGAGTGCTTGGCTTTGGCTGGTGCAATTCCGCGGCCGCGTTAGTCCGCGCATGCTCGCGCGCGTAGCGGCCAGCTTGTGCGGCGCGATCGACGCGGCCGCGGTGGCGCTGACCGCTGGATACTCCCCAGCGGGAACGTCAGTGCGAGTCGCTGAGTTGGGCGGGCGCGGTATCATGGCGACGCCGGCAATGATAGACGCGATGCTAATAATAGCGATGATGGTGGCGATGGTGGCGATGACGAGGGCAATATCAATAACGGCGCCGATGTTGATCGCGCCCGCCGATAACGGTGATGATGCCCTCGCGTCGGTGATGAAGGTTGTGGAAGGAGTTCGACATGCGCGCGCGGCCGACGCGTGCGAGTGGCCCGCGTGGCAGTTTTTGACGCGGATCGTGCCCCCCCCATCACGCGCGCAAGGATATGCAACGCGAGAGGCCCAGTTGGCAGAATTTGATGACATTGTTGAAAAACTGACGGTTTTCTTCAGAAGTCGCAAAAGCGTGCAGGCTGTTTTGAAACGGATGTTGCACAACCGTGTGTTTTAAATTGTTTTCGGGACAGTCGTGTCGGAAATCCGTATGACACCGAGGGTTTTGACATATTTCGGCACGCGCGCGTGTGCGGTTTGTCTTGTTTTCTGCAAATGGCTCTTGCGAGAACACTCGCGCAAGGGCGTTCGAACGAATTGGACGCGCGCGCGCAAGGCCCGTTTGGTAGCATTTTGTGAGGCGGTCGAACAAACTTATGGTTTTTTCGAGAATTGGCAAGAGCGCAGGCTTTTTATGACAAGCCTTGTTGCAAAACCATGTGTTTTTTTGTATGTTTTTGGGGCTTTCGATTTAATCATTACGACGCCGAAGGTTTTGTGAAAGATTTCGGCATGCGCACGCGACGACGCGCGCGCGTGCACTTTGTTCCGGGTTGTGCAAGGGATGATTGACAACTGTTTTTTTGATAAGCGAGTGTGCGCGCATACCATTTTGTGGCTTAGGATGAGGGGGGGATTGTTACTGGCCTGCTTGGGATGATACGAGTTCACACTTAGGATGGATGATGGGGCAGAATCATCTGTACATCGCAGTACGAAATGGTGACCTGGTAAGTCCGGGGGGGGATTGATCCTGATATCTACTATCCTTTCAGAAAGGATCATTCATGTGGTGCAATCATGTGGTGAAAATCAACGCATAGAAATACTAAACAATGCAACGTATTCCAAAGCAGGGCAGCGCAAAGCAATCCGAAACCATGCAACGCAATACAAAGAAATGCGAAGCAGTGTGAAACAAGGCGACGCAACGCAGCGCAATGCGAGACAATGCTAGGTAATGTAGCGTTGTGCAATGCGTCGCAAAGTGACGCGACGCAATGTAAAGCAATGCGACGCAATGCGAACCACTGCAAAGCAATGCGCAACAATACAAAGCAATGCGAACCAATACAAGGCAATGGGAAGCTATGCAATGCAATGCAAAGCGGTGCAAAGTATTTCAAATCAATACAGAGCAATGCAAAGGAATGCGTTCCAATGCGAAGAAATACACACCAATGCAAAGCAACGCAAAGAAATGCAGAGCAGTGCAAAGCAATGCGAAGCTATGGAACGCGATGCACTGCGATGCGAAGCAGCGCGACGACATGCGAAGCAGCGCAAGGCAACACACCAAGCGGTGCGCTGCAGTGCAGAGCAGTGCGCGGCAGCGCACAGCAATGCGGCATCAATGCGACGCCATGCGACGCAAGGCGACGCCACGCGAAGCAGTGCAGAGCCAGGGGCGGCGACGCGCGACGAGCGGCGACGGGCCACCACACGCTGGCCGGACCAGCGGGCGGCGACGGGGCGCCACCGGCCGGCCGCACCGACGCCGGGGCCCAGTGGCAGCGGGCGGCGCCGGGCGGCGACGGGCGGCCGCGAGACGGCCAGGCGGGCTTCAGAGCTCAGCTGCATGAGGAGGGAGGAGGGAGGAGGGAGGAGGGAGGAGGGAGGAGGGAGGAGGGAGGAGGGAGGAGGAGGAGGAGGAGGAGGAGGAGGAGGAGGAGGAGGAGGAGGAGGAGGAGGAGGAGGAGGAGGAGGAGGAGGGAGGAGGAGGAGGAGGAGGAGGAGGAGGAGGAGGAGGAGAGGAGGAGGAGGAGGAGGGAGGAGGAGGAGGAGGAGAGGAGGAGGAGGAGGAGGAGGAGGAGGAGGAGGGAGGAGGAGGAGGAGGAGGAGGAGGAGGAGGAGGAGGAGGAGGAGGAGGAGGTCAGAGCCCCAAGCCAGCATGGCTGGGGGCAGTCAGGGGGAGCTACAAGTTCGCGCCGCGGGGGCCCCAGCTGGGGTCGCCCCTGTCCGCAGTTCTCCCGGAAAATCGCGGGCGTCCTGCCCGCCCGAGTCTCCTCGAAGCTGGGGGGCAGTCGGGGGCAGCTGCGGGCTTGTGCCTCGAGGGCCCAAGCGGGTAGTCATCCCGGGCCGCAGCTCTCCCGGACAGTGCGGGCGTCCAGGGTTAAGAGCCCTCGGAGGCAAGCAGCGCTTTGGGAACACCTGTCGGCTCTCGCACTAGTTTGTAGTGCACCTCGAAAGGCCTCGAGCACCGCTGGTTTGGCACATGCTTTTTGGGCCCGCGCGCGTGG